CGCGGACCCCCGCCGCGGGCCGGGGAAACCCGCAGCCTCCGGGGCTGCCAGGCTCGATTTTCCGACCGGGCTTTATGGGAATATCGATAGAATTAAAGTTACTTGTAATTCCGTGATAAATGAGATGTCTCTAGTAAGTAAGATTAAGTGCAGTGCTATAAAGTTGTTTATCTGAAAAGTAATTCTCAGAAACCTGACTTCTGACACTTGGTCATATATTAAACCAGCTTCTTGAACATTGTACTTCAAATCCTCCCTTCTCCCCTTGCCCGGTCCCTTTCCCCTCGGAGTTTGCTATTTCTAACTGCGCGCAGGGTATTACTTCGTAGGTGCGGGCGAGTCTCTGGGTAATTTTTCACCGACTGTGAAAATCATCATTTGCAATAGCCAAAGAATCTCTGCTTAGGAAATAGTACTTGGCTAGTGGATTTACGAATGGATAACATCTTCTGACTATGCCATTATCAGTATGAGTGCCAGTACTAACATCTGAAAGTCATACAGCATGTACTGTTCCTGGCAGCTAAAAAAGGTAGGGCATACTGCAAATTTAGGAAGATAACTACATCTAGAAATGATCATAGAGGCAATTCTGTAAAGCTAAAAAATGCTACCGACATCGCTAACAAAATTAAAATATAGTTCTGCATGGTCCCGAAACACAGCCGCACACACAGAGCCGTGGACATCTGCTAGCTTTATCTTACAGATTGCGATTCATGACAAAGTTAATACAACTTAACTACTCGGGCTGGCTTTCCTATTTCTTCACGTCGTTGGAATCAACAAAACTTCCAGGCTCACAGCATAAATCCCCCCAGGACAGTCCAATTCCCTGTATTTGTTTTTTCCCTGAGCAAGATGAATGTGGTACTGTATATCACTTAACATGCTCACCTATGAGAGACATAAAATGTGTGCTAATATTTTTAAATGAAAAGGTTATTGCTTTTCAGAATGTACAATTGTAGTATTTCACTTGCCCGCTTGATAGATGGCTGTGGAAATGTGGCTCCAGCTCCATAAAATAGTTTGTTTGGACGTGAGGATTCAAAGTGCTACATTTGCAAACGAGTAAATTTCCTGAGCAAACTCTGAACTCTAGACAAAGAGTAGGAAATTGTGTGGGCTAATGGGGACCGTCTCTTAATTGATACCACTGTAAGCAAGTGCTGCAAATTAATTGAAGCTCTGACCTACCAGAACAGCAAGTAAAATTATTAGTTGTACAATATTGTTCTTGTGTGATTGTTACACAGAACTGCTGCACCAAAATGTCTCTACTGTTCAGCGCAGCAGAGAAAAAAAGATTATTAGCAATTTTTGGATAACCTTCAGAAGCAACATTATCCTCCCTACACTATATAATTCTCATTTCAGTAGTATTTTTCTTTATTATTTGGCTATTCACAATGGGTGTCTAAACATTTACAGTCCTCTATTAACAGTGTTTCTTCCATAACAATCACACACTTTCATTTCAATTAGAGCTATTCAGTCTTCCGTTTTTCCACAATTATCGCAGGCCAGTTCCCCCAGACTGCTCCCTTTTCCCAGCGCTGTTTGGAACAATCCTGCCCTGAGCCAGGCAGAGGGAAAACTCCAGCGTCCCTCTCGTAGCCTCTTGCTCCGGTTTGTTTTTAAGCATCTCTATTCGACGACATAACGCGGAGCCCTGCTTGCTCCCAGTTTGCTGCTGACCTGGTTCATAAGCCTTCAAACTAACGCGGGGAGAGTTTTCTGACAAATCGCGCAGGGGGACGTGAAACATTAGCTCCAAATACACTCGGATCGCCCTGCATTGGGACGAGCACACCAGCAGCATAGGCAAGAACTTCCATCGCTGAAGTGTGTGTGCGTGTGTGTGTCCAACACAGAAGATTTAGCAGAAGCGAACGTGCAGGTTATGAGTTATATGGACTCAGAGTGTAATTTGTTATAACTTAAACACATATCAAGACCAACACATTAAGTACAGTTACTGCTCCTTTTGTTTATCCAGTGTCTTATTTTATGGTGCAGAACTAAACAGTGTCCGCCAAATTTAACTATGAAACCAGCCAAATTGATTTCAGAAAGACTTCTTCAGAGTAACAGAGTGATAAGGCATAAACTGCTCCTAGGTGCAGTGCTAGATAAATCCTTTTAACAGTCTTCAGATCAGTTAACAGGGTAAGTAAATCACATATCACTGTTAGCAGATTTATGGGAGAGAATTAATAGAATCAGACGAGATAATCTGGTAGGGATAAAATTGCTGAGGAAACAGTCCTGCCTTATATTGGAGGGTATGAAACAACAGCCTGATTAGTGGGAGTCGTTATGGATTGGTGAATTATGAGCTAAATCATCATAAGAGTAATTCAGTATTTAATAATTCTTTTCTCTTTAAACAACTCACAGACGCAAATAAAAGCCTCTCTCTCTTTGAAGACACATTCTTTATATATTTTTATTGGATGTAATTTACTATTTGCATTACCTGTATTTACTTCATAATTGAACATTTTGCATTCAAATTTATGTAATGCATTATGCTTGAGAATATATTTCTCCCTTATTAGCATAAATAGTCACTTACCTCATGAATTACTAACAAAGTTTATCTGAAAATGTAGGTATATTTTTTATTAAGTGGAACACAAACATATGTACAATAAATTCTGATTTGCCAGTAGTGTTACAGAAACACAGAACAACCCTGTGTCGGAGAAGAGGGAAAAGAAGCAGCAGCGAAGAAGCAGAATCAATTACTATGGGTATATATGTGACAATAATTTCTTCTGTCAATGTTTTGTTTATTTTTAATAAAGAATGAGTGACTCAAAGGTTTACTTTAGAAGGAGCAGATAAAAAGGATCTCCACAGTGAATTTCTTCTCTCTCTTCCCCCCAGTACTTTCCGATGGACTTGGCTAACTGAGGCTGTGCCACTGCAGTCTTTGCTCTTAAAAAATGAACGTGTGCTGCTCTAAGCTCACTTTCTCAAACATTTCTCGCTTTCCCCTAATCCTGTTTTTATGCTTGGCTTTAACTCCAAATAATCAATATAATTTAGGCCCATTCTGCAGTATTAAGGCAAACTTACTTATGCAGAGAAAACCCCAGCCCTGTTGACTTCAGGAACTGCAGGACCGAATCCTTGATCCCACTGAAACCAATGACAAAACTTGTATTGATTTCGGTGGAAGCAGGATCGGGCCCTTGATGTTAGCAATTTGTTTATGTCAGAGGGCTGGCGCTACAAGAAATGAAAGACATCGGCAGATCTACTGGCAGGAAATCAGGTTTGCTCCCCAAAATTCAAAGGCAAAATTCCCACTTAACTTGTCATGGATCTCCTTTACG